GGGGTCTGCTCAGCTGGATTCCCACTAAAACCCCACTCATCCTGAGAGCTTTTCCTCAGCAGATCCCAGAGCACAAGGTGAGAGCTGGTCAAGCACTCCAAAGCCAAGGAATTCCTGGCAGGAAAGAGCATTTTTGGGGGAAAAAAACCACCACAGGAAACATCTCCATAGGAAGGGGCGGCTGGTGGGATCATCTGGATGCTCCAGGACCACCCATGGATTTGGGATGCAAGGTCCAGGCAAGGCCTGGAAGTGTTTGGAGGAGCCTCCAGGCTTCCAGACCTGGAAAAGTCCTGGTGTGGCCCATGAGAATCTCCTGAAGTTTAACAAGAACAGGAGCAGGACAATCCCAGGATGAATCCAGGCTGGGATGAGCACATGGAGCAGCCCTGAGAGAAGGACCTGCAGCAGGGCATGGAAACCTCCAAAGTCTAGGGCTGATCCCAGAGCAGGAAAATGGGGAATTCTGTCCTCTGGAGCAAGTCCAGAGGAGGCTCCAGGATGATCCGAGAAAAGGCTGGGAGAGTTGGGAATGTTCAGCCGGGAGAGGAGAAGCTTTGGGTTGACCCAGTTTTGGCCTTCCAGGACCTGAAGGAGCTGACAGAAAAGATGGAAAAGGTCTCTTCAGAAGTGACAGAACACAGGGAATGGCTCCACAATTCCAGAGGGGAAACTGAAATGAGTTATTGGGAAGGAATTCCAGGCTGTGGGGAAGCTAAGGCCCTGGCACAGCTTTCCCAGAGAGCTGTGTCTGTCCCTGGATTCCTGGGAATGTCCAAGGCCAGGCTGGAGAGGACTTGGAGCCACCTGGGACAGTGGGATCTGTCCCTGGCCATGGAATTCCCACCCAAAGCATCCTGGGATTGCAAGGAGCCCATGGATGGAGCTGGGAATATCTGACAGCCTGCACAGGGCAGGGGCTGCTCAGCTCCAGGCTCCCAGCATCTGGATCAGAATTCCTCATCCCAGGCCAAAGGGCACCGACATTCCCAAGCCAAACCCTACAACATTCCCAGGATTAGGTTTTGGGGGATGCCAATAATCCCAAGGGAATTTGGGCTTGGGAGACTTTGGAAACGCTCTGGGAGCAGCCACAGGAGCTTTTCCAGGGAGAAATAAAGCTGGGAATATCTCCCCTTCCCGAAGATTATCCCGGTTATCCTGGAAAGGCACAAGGAGAGGGAAGATCCTTGCCGGAGCCGCGGCTTTCTCCTGAGCTCTGGATTGGAAGTGGCGGCTCCAAAACGCAGCTGGTGGGAGGAGGGAAATTGGGCTAATTGGGAAAGGGCAATTAGCACAGTGAGGGGGATTTTCTGAAGGGGCTGCGCGGCCTGGATTTACCTGGAGAGGCTCCGTGGGAATGTGGGATTCGTGGAAATGGGAGGGAAAACTTCCAGAAAAGAGCTGAACCCAGGATTTGATGGGAAAAGTGTGAACAGGAAAGGACATTGGGAATGTGGGGTGGATTTTTGGCAACTGCAGGTGAATTAAAGCAGGATTTCACCCCTGCTCCTCCTTTTCCCTCATTCTCCAGGACACAATTCCCACCAAATTAAAAAAAAACATGAGCAAGTGACTTTCACCACCCTGGGGAAAGCTCCACGCTGGGTTTTCCCTCCAAAAAGGAGGGAAAATTGCATTTTCCAGGCTGGAGAAGGCTCCACCCGGGGGGCTCCCTGTCAGCTGGGAAAACCCCTGCCAGAAAAACCTCCGGGGGGAATGCAGAGGGGAGAGAATTCCAGGTAAAACCCCAGCTGCAAAGGGCTTTTCCCAAGCTGGGTTTTTCAGGAATATCCCCAAGGACAGCTCCCTGCAAAGCCCAGGAGCTTCAAACACTTGAATTTTCCCTTTTTTTTTTATTTTCCCTGGTTGGGGTTGGAAAGCAGAAGCCGAAGCAAATCCCACCGGGATAAAGCCGCTGGAAATCTCCAGGAACTCGACACTTTCATCCCTCCCAGGGCGCTAAAACAGCCCCCGACGAGCCCCTTATGGGGTCGCATTTCAGGCGGGTGTTTAACGAGCCAGCCCTGATCCCAGAAGCCAGGGAGCAGAGGAAAAGGGGGCTTTTCCAGCTTTTCCAGTCCCTTTTCCAGGCGCTCCTCTCCTTTTCCATGGTCCAGCGCTGCCTCCTCCGCGTGGCCTCATTTTTCCCTCCTGACGGCTCCTTAACCCACTTAGCCCCGGCCACGGCGGTTTTTTTTTGGCAAAAGGAAGAGGTTGAGCCGGAGACAAAGGGGGGAAAAAAGCAGGAATAGCAGGGGTGATGCCCCCGGAGGGCTGGAAAACACCTCGGGAATGATCCCGGTTGCGCTCGGGGTCACAAAAGGGCTTTTCCTGAGCGGGTGAAGGATGCAGAGCAGGGCTGGAAGCCCCCCCAAAAACCTTCCCACGGATGATTTGTGGGGTGGGAAGTGATTCCAGCGGATTCCTGGGGGATCCTCCGGGATGCGGATGAGGAGGTGGATGAGGGGACAATAAAAGCAGGGAAAATTCCCCCAAAAAATGGTTTTGGGGACACACGGCAGATGTAGGGACGAACAGCGGGGAGTGGGGCCGTGCCCACCTGGATCTTCCCGGGGTCTGGATCCCTTGGATTGCTCTCCAGCCGGGATGAGGAGGGCACGGAGGGGAGGGGAGGGCACGGCGGCGGCTCCAGCCAAGGATGCCGTCAGCCAGGAAAAAGCCATCTGCCCTCGGAAATTCGGGAATGGCGAGCGCTCTGCCCCCCCAAATTCGGGAACAACGCTCTGCCCCCC